TGGAGGTGTACAGAACTCTACCAGATGTCTACCTGGAGAACCTGAGAAAGTCAGGGAGATGTGTTTCCATGTAACACGAATATATCATCAGTATCGGAGTAGTGATGCAGGATGTGAGAAACCCGGTTCTCGGTACAGAGGTCGCACGAACTCAAGTTAACGCTGGTTTCTGGAGAGGGCCTAATATTCAAGTGAAAAGGTTGTTTTCGTTTTTCACAAGAAGCACTTCTTCATCTGAGTGAGTGAGTGAGTGAGTTGGGTTTAACGCCGCTTTTAACAGTATTACAGTTATATCACGGCGTATCAGCTTAATGTGGGAGGAAAGTCCGAAGTGATATGCAGGTCTCAGACGTTTACCACTTCGGTGAAACCCACGAGCACGGGTATGGTGCTGACAAACCTAGAAACATAATTGGGGTCATCTGAGGCTCATCTCATTGCTGTGAGGTCTTCAGATCTCAAACTGCCGGAGCCCAGTGTCTTTACAAACATGAAGATCAGCTCCTTGGTCTAGTGGATAGAGCGGAAGGTCGGTGGTTCGATCCACTGGCCGTGTCATAAAAGTTACATCTTGTTACCCTGCCTGGAGCTCGATATTATAGGAATGAAATAAGGCCTGGTCGGCTCCTCTGGAGTATACTGTGTCTGAGTGGGGTGAGGCGAGAGGCGCCCCCATTTCACCTCACCTTTGTTCAATGAGAGATGCGGATCTACAAAAGGACTTATGTTATTGTAGACCTTCTGGTATCCGATACCCACTATGCCCTGACACACCATACCTACATATGAAGGCTGCACATCATTTTCTGATAATCCTGTAAAGGCCCTTGCTCCAGTTGTTTTCCATAGACCTGCCATATGTCATACCCAAGAAAGCCGAATGTCGTCAAAAAGCCTTACACATATACCCATAAGTTTTTGTTTGTGTGTTGTTTAACGCAGCACTCAGCAATATTCCAGTTACGGGACGTCGGTCTGTAAATAATCTAGTCTGGACCAGACAATCCAGTGATTGGCATCACGAGCATCGATCCACGCTATTGGGATAGGAAGACATGCATTAAACCATAAAGGCGACATGTCATCCTACAGGGCCTTGCGAAGATCTTTTATGTCAAACACTGAGACTGCATGGTGAAACAGCTTTAGGACCCCCCATTTCACTTGAATTCACTTGAAGACAGCATTTCTGTGCACACAGTAACACTCCATTGATACCAAACATTAAACCTGAAACTTTCGTAAACACAGGCTGCGATATTAAACCACTGAGCAGTATTAAAAACATCCTTCCTTCGGTTTATTTCTATGTTTAATAATTGTCTTTCAAGTGAATCATATTTGCCCTTTATGTTTCCACCAATAATAAAATGAGTTGATCCGATTGTTGAGAACAAGGTATATACAATGAGTCGACGCCGGTATATTGAACGCCGCCCTAACGTGTTGATATACACAGAGGGCAACCTGTCCCAGATGTCAACGGCGTGCCTCGGCACCACATGGACATTCTATATATAGGCTGGGAGGGGACAGGTCTGGAACAAGGAGGACATGATTACTCTTCGGAATCTAAATATGGAGAGGTTCCTTGATGGCCTGACCTCCAGACACGGTGACAAGGGGGCGTCTCAAAGGTCCCGCAGACGTTTACGTACACATGAACCGGAGACTACGACAATATTGTCGCAATGTTATTCTGGTATCGGCAAATATATGCTGGCTCATTTAAGTAGGCTTGTCAAGTTATTGTATAGATATACAATGTTTAGGAACATTTATGATCATATTATTAGTCGTATTTTCTTAGTACTAATTACTACTGAGAAATTAGGAGACGGCCAATCTACACAGGTGATGCACGTTGCATGGGTGCCACTGTATTGTGTAAAGTTATACTATTATTAATAGTGATGGCATTTACCAACCTGCAGTTACATCTGCAGCAAATGGTTATGCACGGACATGCGTTGCACTTGAGCATCAGATCAATATCAATTATCTAACAGTTAGGTTCCCATATGGAACCAGTCTGGCTGTAGGTTTTGCTGGAAATCCTGTTGGTGTGGTGTAGTATTTAAACCACTTCTTGAAGATACCACTGTATAGTAAACAGATTTATTACATACCCATTGGTGAAAACCCCATTTGAGATGGTAATTCATTGATAAGCTACTCGTGCTTCGGTCGAATTCATCTACGTCTTGTCGAAACTTTATGGTTTTAGAGTGTTAATACATGTTCATTGGTCCAGTCTAGTTTGGACTATCCCCATCACCTTGATAATCCAGTGTTTGTTTATTTATTGTTAAAAGCCGCAGTCAGCAACTTTAACAAGCACAGAAGGCAGGATGCTGTGAACCATCTACTTTACCTTGGGTAGACTGGGGATCAACAAACAGTGGGAAAACACTATGAATACACTGTGTCATTTAGAAAGTTGTCAGATGGTTTTTTTGTTTTATTTTTGTTAAAAGCCGCACTCAGCAATATTCCATCTGTATGACGGCGGTCTGTATATAATCGAGTCTGCACCAGACAATCCAGTGTTTGACATCATGAACATTGATCCACGCAATTGGGATACGATGACATGCATCAACCAAGTCAGCGAGCCTGACCACCCGATCCCGTTAGTCGTCTCTTACGACAAGCATAGTTTACGGCAAGCACGGGTTACTGAAGACCTATTCTACCCAGGACTGATAATCCACAGATATGACGGAAATCTTTATTGTGGAGGGTCATACTTACGGGTAGCAAGCAAGCCAGATGACATCACAAATGACGGCTGTCTATTTTTTTATTATTGCGCAACTGTTTTAACGAGAATAGATGAAATATGCATCGATTCGGTAGTGCGATTTTAGTGTGTGTAAGAAACAGATTACTGTATGATCAACACTTGTTTTCATATTTTGTCAAGCTCCTGATTTTTTATTGCAACATTTGGTTAAGTGTTCTCTTCTGTTGAATATTATGTTATGGGTGTACTTGTTCCCTGATTGGGGAATGTCTTACATGGGAAGTTATATTGTGCAGGAGTGGGGAATATAACATGTTATCAACTTTTTGAGATTATCATAAGTGTTATCACACGTTTGTTTGTTTGTTGGTTAACACCACACTCAGCAGTATTCCAGCTATATGATTGCGGTCTGTAAATAATCGAGTCTGGACCAGACAATCCCGTGATTGACATCATGAGCATCGATCCATGCAGTTGGGAGACGATGACATCCATCAACCAAGTCAGCAAGCCTGACCACTCGATCCTGCTAGTCCCCACTTCTGACAAGCATAGTTGCTTTTATGGCAAGCATTGTTGGTGAAGGCCTATTCTCTACCTGGATCTTCACATGTCCTACATATTTGGACTGGTTGAGAGAATGTAATTTAAGCAGAATTGTCTTCAGTCTGAAGCTGCAAACCAATGGCTGTCAGAGAGATCACTGCTGTGTGGGTATGATGACAGGTCGCATGGAGCAGGTCATCAACAGCAACATTTCCATGGCACCTACCAAGCTCTGAAGAACTATTTACCCCCCAAACTCCATCACAGGTAGAATAGATCTGCATCCCTCCTGCATCCCATGTTTGTGGTAATAGGTGACTAATGTTTGTTGGTTGATTAAGCTGCATCAACAATATGCCAGTTGTATGATGGCCGTCTGTAAGTAATCAAGTCTGGACCAAACAATCACATGACTGACATCATGAGCATCAATCTACTGAATTGGGATATGATGACATTCATCAACCAAGTCAGCCATCCTGAACATCCAATCTGTTAGTCGCCTCTTACGACAAGTATTCGGTGTAGGGGGCATATATTCTTAGCCAGAAGCCCCACAGGTCTCTGTGTCATACCAGAAAAGACTGCATGTCCTCATATGGAGCCTTTGGGATGCTTCTTATTTCACACCTATGAAAAATGCATGTCATAATATGGAGCCTCATAAGACACACATGGCTTGCTGAAGACCAAGTTTAACTCGGATCCTTGCGGGTCATGTTACCAACAGGATTGGGTGGTCAAGCTTGCTGACTTGGTTGATGCCTGTCACCGTATCCCAATTGCATAGATCAATGCTCATGATGTCAGTCACTGTACTGTTTGGTCCAGACAGGATTATTTACAAACTGCCATCATATAGCATTGATATTGCTAAAAGCAGCATTAAACAACAAACAAAATCATTAAGAAGATTTGGTATGTACCCGCTGTAACCTCCCAACAGGGTGCCAGAACCTGCCTCCATGATGATATATTATTTACCTTCAAATAAGAATACCTCAAACAATCTTCAAAGATTTTGTAATGAAATGGAATGCTGCATTCATATCATACATGGAAATCACTGACAAGATATTTCCGACTTACTTAATACTTAGGAAGCATTCACTATATGAACAACATATTCATTCTACAATAACCATATCACAAGATTACACACCCGTGAAGATCTGGGTAAAGAATAGGTCTTTAGCAAACCATGCTTGCCGCAAAACACGACTATGCTTGTCGAAAGAGGCGACAACGGCATCGGGTGGTCAGGCTCGCTGACTTTGTTGATGCATGTCATCGTATCCCATGTACGTAGATAGATGCTCATGATGTCAATCACTGGATTGTCTGGTCCAGTCTAGATTATTTACAGACTGCCGTCATATAGCTGGAATATTACTGAGCGCAGCATTACAAAACAAACAAAATCATTTAGAAGATGTTGCATGTGTACCAGCTGTCAGCTCCCCACAATGTGCCAGAATGTGAACCGTCCTCCACGATGATGAATCACAACATGTTGTAGGGAACCACTCTCTCTTCCACCTTCAGTAAATATATGGTATCGTCTGACCACTGCCCTTCATAAGTCCTGTGCACACTCCACATCTTCAGCAGAGGGAGCCTAACTCCCCCTCACTGCAATATAACACTGGTGGCAATAATAGCACAGGTATAACACTTCGGGTCTATCAAATACCATTTTCCACACTACTTGTTCCAGCTATTTTATTACTTGTTATCATGAGCTGTGAGTACAAAGAGGTCAAGACAAACACCATTCACATTTCACATTTTATACGAGATAAAACAGAATATATATATTGAAATAATGTGATCATTCCTGCATAGACTAGCACCCATAATCCCTTAATATTAAATATTCTCCAAATCAGCAAATGTATTGTCAACTGTCTTACATAATGATACTCCTTGATATATATATTTTTTTTGTAAAAAAATCATCTACAATTTTCTACATGGACTAGCACACATAATTCCAGAAACAGAAACAATATTAATTATTTGTAATATCAGCAACTGTATTGTCAACACAGGGTTTTTTGTTTTGTAAAATGTCATCTACACTTTTACACACCACATTGCAATAGTGTACCAGTGTTGTGTTTCCAATCTACCATGGATCATCCACTTACATGGGTGATAAATGTCAGTTCTCTGTTGGTAGATGTGCGCTCTCTGTACACCACAGCTCCTGTACATTCCATGCTGATTGAAACCCAGGCCAGACTGGATTACCTCCCCTGATTCACAAGGTCATGCTGTTCTGTTCAATAACACAAAGGCAGGTGATGGATGTGTACTTGGGTGAAAGTCACACACAGTACTCACACAAACACACATACACAGATGGATCTGCCACACTCTGGTAATCTTGATTATATTCCTTGAACTGATGCAACTTCAGAAACACTCCACACTGTTTTTGATCTCTGAAAAAACAGGAATAATGAAAACATTTGATTCCTATGCTAACAAATTTTGTGGTTGACTGACATCTACTCTCTGAAATGAAAATATTTAACAGAAAAAACAGTTGTTAAATTAACTTAGCAAATTTAAAAAAAAGAAGTCCAGAGACTCTTCATTTTCTGAAACGACAGTAAGTAAGTGAGTGAATATGGTTTTACGCCACTTTTAGCAATATTCCATTACGGTGGGGGACACCAGAAATAGGCTTCATATATTGTATCTGTGTGGGTGAAACTGCAGTAATCTACACTTGCCAACTATCATAGACTTGCATGGGCTGTATTGTACATATATTTGTTTCAGGGTCTGCATGACAGAGTAGTTTCATGGTTGCTGATAGCATGATTTGTAACACCTCTTATCTTATGTTTGCAAACCTTATGGTTCCAAAGTAAAGACACTCTGACAAGTGACTGTGCTCTTGTCTTTCGTTGTGCTTAAGTTTGCATGCCCAGTAAACAAGCGAATATAGTGCAATCCCATTAATATCCGATCTTGTACTCTGATATGGTATCTCGCTGCGTGGAGATCTGAGGACAGCTCCACGGGAAGTCACGTCAGGTGAACTCCCTAATCCACCAATCAGATAGACGCTTCTAAATTCTGGTACGAGTTATCAAATCTTTCTAACCAACATATCTGACACTGTATCTTGAACTAAAATGACAAGTTTAGACTTACATCTAGTCTCTGAAATGAACATATCTTACAGAAATAAACAGTTGTTAAAGTATCTTAATAGAATTATAATAAAAAGAAGCCCTGAGACTCTCTTCATTCCTGATACTGCAGTAATCTAGATTTGCCAAACATTATAGACTTGCATGGGCTGTATTTGATACATTTGTATCAGGGTCTGTGTGACAGACTATGACAAGTTTTGAAAGTAGAAAAAGAAGTGTAATCATATTGTTGAGGATATTTCATTCATCCTCTTGTTTCTGAGCCTTGGCATTGAAGGAATATTGGTGTTCTGTGTGGGTTTGTGAAATTGCCAAATTGAGGTGGTTACAAAATTGTTTTAAAATGATGACAACTGATTGGCTCAGGAAACTATGTCCTTATTCTAATAGGACTGTCAAAGTTTGATCAGGGTTCACCTGACACGACCTTCTATGGAGATGTCCTCAGATATTAATGCAGAGAGATATCATGTCGGAGTAAGAGACCAGATATAAATGATATTGAAATGAAGTGATAATCTCTTCTGAAGTGTCTGAAAACATGCTAAATAAAAAACCTATATTCATGTCAATAGTGAGTGTGTGATGTAATATTGATTCATGCTGCAATTTACAGCAACCATGTCTTGTGTCTGGCATCACTAAGTAATATAACACTAGCCAGTTAATAATCAGCATCACAAACCAGTGGTTGATAGCATAACTAACAATCCATCACCACTTAAGTACTGGCCTAAATGTTTTTCAAATTTCAAAATTTAAAATATTGCTAAAAATGGAGTGAGTGAGTGAGTTGGTTTTGACGCTGCTTTTAACAGTATTCCAGTTATATCACGGCGTGTCAGCTCAATGTAGGAGGAAAGCTCGAAGTGATGCAGGTCTCAGACGTTGACCACTTCAGTGAAACCCATGAGTATGGGTATGGTGCTGACAAACCTAGAAACATAATCGGGGCGAACCGGGTTTCAAACCCACTATTATAGGTTTCTGGCATGCCCAAGGGAAGCAACTCTGCACAGCAAACCGCGGCACCTTAGATGACTGGGCCACACGTGCCCCTACTAAAACTAGAATATTTGTTTATTTGTTTGTTGTTTACCACCACACTCAGCAATATTACAGCTATATGACGGCGGTTTGTAAATTATCGAGTCTGGACAAGACAATCCAGTGATTGACATCATGAGCATCGATCCACGCAGTTGGTACACAATGACATGCATCAACCAAATCAGGGAGTCTGACTACCCAATATTGTTAGTTGCCTTTTACCACAAGCATAGTCGTCTTTTACAGTAAGCATGGGTTGCTAAAGACCTGTTCTACCCCAGATCTTCATAGGTCTAAAAATGGAATATATATATATATATATATATATATATATATATATATATATATATATATATATATATATATGTTGAACCTCAATACTAACTACACCAAAGTCATCAAATTTCAACACATTTTAAACAAAAATAACCGAGGAAAGACCATAAATAGGTTTTCAAAATGGCTGTCATGGCGCCAGTCAAGCAAGTAGACCTTCACATAAAATTACGTGTCAAATTATGTGTCAAATTTTGAGGAAACATGGTATAGTGTCTCTTGCCACTTGAATGAACATGTATTTGTGTAATCAATACCCGGGATTGATTATTGTTCAAAACCCAACATAAACAGGTTTTTCAAAACAATCACGAATACGTTAAGGCCACTTGATGCAATATAGTTCATATTTATCAGTACTGGTATACCATATAAATATTATCCCCCAGCTCCACCTAAATCAGCAAGCACAGGGCCCAACACAACAGGTGTAATGAGGAGCTGTATATCAACTCCTGGCTCCACAGACAGCCGATACCAGCCTTTTCCCCATGTAACTGTTCGCCTTACGCTGGAGATAACACAAGCCATTAGGAAGGGCTACACTTATGTTGTAGTTCACAAATGTAGATAAATAGCACTAATGAGACTCTTATTCTTTAAAGGGGAAGTGTACACGCAAAAATCACTTTCTTTCTTTTTCTAAACAAAACGCAATTTTAGAATTAGTTAGTATCTGTGTTTGAAAATATACACTCATTTTTTTTCACAGTGAAAGTAGGAAGCTCACAATAGTGTTAAAATGATATGCCGTTATGAGGCCTTCGTTTTACGAGCGAAATAGGCCTGAGTTATCCCCCTTAGATTGTGACGTAATTGGTGCTAATTCAACTGGTTCCCTGTCTATTCTCAACGCAAAAGATATCAAGGACCAGTTTGCGGTAAAACAACATGGTCTACGACACACTCCGGCGCAGTGGTGACTCAGTTTAACACAATTCTGGCTGACATCTGAGACGCTAAAATCACAAAACTGTACCTACACCACGTGAAGCGGCTCTAACAAAGCATGATGACGTCATAATGTTTATCAATTGGCACCAATGACGTCATATTGCAAGGGGCATAAGCCATGGTGTTTTTGTTATGGAAATAGAACACTTGGTAAATGTGAAAAATATATATCGTTTTAATGCAAAAAATATGTTAATTAAATATGATGTTTTTATATTTTTGTCTATGACACTTCTATGTTAACACTTTTAATGTGGAAAAAGTACAAGAAAAATTGGTTCATTTCCGTGTGAACTTGCCCTTTAAAGTATGTGTTTGATTGGACGTGGAAAGTTTACACTGATATATGTTAAAGTATAAAACACAGAGTTTTGTAGATTGACCTACCTCCTGTTTGGTTTAGACATGTCATAAAAAGAAACCATGTACTTTTTACCAAGTGACTACAATTACCCCATGCTTGTAAAAGTCAACACAAATGCTTTTTGTTTTGTTTGTTTGTTTGTTGTTTAACGCCGCACTCAGGAATATTCAAGCTATATGACGGCGGTCTGTAAATAATCGAGTCTGAACAGACAATCCAGTGATTGACATCATGAGCATTGATCCATGCAATTGGGATACGATGACATGCATCAACCACGTCAGCGAGCCTGACCACCTGATCCCGTTAGTCACCTCTTACGACAAGCATAGTCGCCTTTTACGGCAAGCATGGGTTGCTGAAGACCTATTCTACCCCGGATCTTGCAGATTTAGTTGTTGCAGGCGAGATAAAAAGGGGTTTAATGACGTGTTCAAAATTAATGCACAAGTGATGTGCATTCACGTGTATGGTCCGGACTATTGCTGTTTTTATAGTGCTAGCCCACTGAGATACCATGCCGCAGTTTAACATGGATACCCAACTCAGACACAGTATACCCCTTAATGTTGAGCGCCAGGCTAAGTAACAACAAGTATCCTCTTTTAATGTCTTTTGACGCGGCCTTGGGATCAAACCACCAACCTTCCACTCTATATATACTAAATATATTATTGACCTTCAAAAATACTGTAAACAATCCTCAAAGTTATGGAATGAAATAGAATGCTGTATTCATGTCATACATGGAGATCGCTGACAAGATATTGGACACTAAGAACTTGATACTTAATGCTCATGAAGCAATCACTATATGAACAATTTATTCATTCTACCATATCACAAGATTACAGGCCAATGAAGATCATGGTAGAGAGTAGGTTTTCAGCAACCCATGCTTGCCGCAAGAGGTGACAAATGGGATCGGGTGGACAGGCTCGCTGACATGGTTGATGCATGTCATCATATCCCAATAATGTAAATACATGCTCAAGTCAATCACTGGATTGTTTGGTCCAGACTAGATTATTTACAGACCTCCATCATAGAGCTGGAATATAGCTGAGAGTGGCGGTAAACAACTACAAACAAACAAAACAAGATTTCAAATGTCTACCATCAAACCTCAAACGATTACTGAATCTCGAATGTATTTAAACTCATCATGATACTATAAAGAGGCGTTGGATCAGAATTTAAGTTTGCAAACTTGTGTGAAATGAGCAAATTGTCAGGGTGATATACCCTGACATACCTGAAATGATATACCCTGTAATCATGGTAATGTACAGGTATTAGAAACAAAGACTGGCCAAGTACCTGCAGGATGCTGTGACTGCAAGTTGGGTATCTGTTAGAGCAAGTTAGAATAATTTTATGCCACTTTTAGCAAAATTCCAGCAATATCATGGTGGGGGATTTAGAAAATAGGATTCACCCATTGTACCCATGTGGGGAATGAACCTGGCCCTCGGTGTGATGAGCAAACGTTTTAACCACTAGGTTACCCCACTGCCCCACCAAGCAGTTTGCAGATCCCTTTACAGAAGAAAGTCCCACACTCTTATGATTTCGGGAACCAACACTGTTATTCTGCATGACAAACACTTGGCTGCTATTTCCCTTAAGGTAAAAGGTAACTTTCGTCACATCTGTGTTTCATATAATACATGAACTATCCAAAGCTGATTTAAGTTCTAGAGAATAACATGCCCTTTCAGCTTGATCTGGGAGGAAACCCACTTCAGTGAAACCCACAAGCAGATGTATGATATGCTCTCAAACCTAGCAACATTACCAGGGTCAATATGGGATTCAAACTCATGGTCAGAGGTTGTGACTGCCTAAGGGACGCAACTCCTTAAGCAGTGCCTTTGATGACATCTTCCCGAGGCAAGAGAGTTAACTGACTATATAAGTCCAGTATCCACCCTTACTGAACTTGGCTGGTATTATGGAGTAACATTTTGGCTGGACTAACAAGTCTATGCATAGTCCAATCAAAATCGCGCACCGAAATCGAAATCCGGTTCGTAAACTGTCATGCAGATTTCAGTAGATTGCAAGATTTGCAAAACATGTGCATCGCCAACTCGTTGTCAGCAGATATTTTCCAAATCTTTTCATGTTTTTATTCAAGGTGCTCACGTGATTTGATGCATTTCGCGAAGTAAGACCCCTTTTATCACAATATAGATCTTGATCATTGATCAGATCATCCTGACTGGGAGCCACCATTTTGTGTGAAGCAAACGCAAGTGATACGAGAGGTGGAATCTGATTGGTCCATAGGAGAGGCTTAGAAGGGACATAACTGGTAATAGCCACTGGTGGCGCTCCGATCGTAATTCCAGTAATTCCAGCCTATTTCGGCAAGGGTGGAAACTGGACTTTTAAAGTCAGTTAACTCTCTTGCCTCGGGAAGATGCTTTGATGACTGCATCACCCATGTCACACTCATGGACTACGGCTGGTTATAATGCTTCTGAGTGTTGGAGTTTCAAACCGAAAATGAATCCAGTCCACAGAAAAATGTGTCTTCAATCAGGAGACCAAAAAATACTTCAGAAGAGTTTCTGTGAATAGCGTGTAAGCCTAGGGGTACACCTAGCTGATACAGGGGGGAACTTTCAACTGAGAAGGAGCCTTGAATGTAACAGGAATATTTCCCTCATTACGTGGGCAGTGCTGGTGGGAGGTGAATGCCTATCTCCAACCCACTGACACCACCTCCCATCTTCTCTACAGTAGAACACAGCCTCTATACACTCCAGGAATTTAATCTCCCAACCATATCTACTTAGCGCCCCTATTTTTAGAACATCTATTTTTGATTTTATATGTGAATGAGGCTAGTTTTATCTCACAATGCTCTAAAGAGAAATACTTGTCTGAAGAATTTTTTTCAATCATTCTGTCTGCTTCATTTAAGTTCTGCTTTGATACCGATTTAGAAACCCAGGTAAGCCGGAACTAGAGGTTCACAGTCCTTCTCAACAGCAAATGAAAAAGTTATTTTATTTGCAATGTGAGTTATCTGCTGCCTGCAGGAGGCTTCTTTTTGCATGTGGGTGAGTGAATGTTGTTTTACAGCACAATCAGCAGTATACCAGCCATGTTCCAGCCTGTAAATAACAGAGTCTGGGCAAATCATGCCAGATTTGACAGATCTTCACTATTGGAGTACAATGACGTGCAATCAAAGATACATCGTGACCACCCAATCTCATTTCAGGGGAACTGGAAACCTTTTTGGCATCGCATGTTGGTCCTGACACATCCTTTTGTATTTTGCTCTGATTAACACAATTTGTTTGTTGTTTAACGCTGCACACAGCATTATTCCAGCTATATGACGGAGGTCTGTAAATAATCAAGTCTGGACCAGACAATCCAGTGATTGACATCATGAACTTCGATCCACGCGATTGCAGTACGACATACATCAACCAAGTCAGCGATCCTGACCACCCGAACCTGTTAGTCACCTCTCATGACAAGCATGGCTTGCTGAAGACCAATTCTAACCCGGATCTTCACGTGGGAACAAGCAATACAAGCATACAGAAACAGTACTTTCAACCTGTTCTGAAATGTGCCAACAGTAAATTTCTAATTCACTTTTTTTACAGAAAAGTGGACCTTCCTTAGAAAAATAAAGCACAACAAACCAAGTCTTGCATGACGATAGAACTAAAATGATGAAGACAACATTCCTCACCAGTGGTGTTTCGCTCATGTTTATGTAATCTGTAATCATGACAACCAGACTTGTTTGTTGATGTTAAGATAGCACCAACACATCCTACACGGAATGCACATTAGTTATGACATGCACCTCACGGATACATAAACACCTTGTCAGGTACTCAGCTCGTTTAGCAAGGGCAGCACAGGTGTCAGACTAGCTGCAGTCTTGGATTCGGTTGGGTGAGAGGGCAGAGCGGACTTGTCCTTAAGGTGGACATGATGTATCATTCAGTCACATAAAGGTGATATCTGGTATATCAGTAGACAAAATGTACATATACAATGGTACATGTTAATGATATCAGCTGACATGATATGCTTATTGTTGACAATGGTGGATATCAGTGATATTAGCAAATATAATGCACCATGTGTCATACAATGGAGGATATTAATGATATCAGCCGACATGATATGCTTATTGTTGACAATGGTGGATATCAGTGATATTAGCAAATATAATGCACTATGTGTCATACAATGGAGGATATTAATGATATCAGCCGACATGATATGCTTATTGTTGACAATGGTGGATATCAGTGATATTAGCAAATATAATGCACTATGTGTCATACAATGGAGGATATTAATAATATTAGCTGACATGATATGCTTATTGCAGACAATGGTGGATATCAGTGATATTAGCAGACATAATGCACCATGTGTCATACAATGGAGGATATTAATGATATCAGCTGACATGATATGCTTATTGTTGACAATGGTGGATATCAGTGATATTAGCAGACATAATGCACCATGTGTCAAACAATGGAGGATATTAATGATATCAGCCGACATGATATGCTTATTGCAGACAATGGTGGATATCAGTGATATTAGCAAATATAATGCACTATGTGTCATACAATGGAGGATATTAATGATATCAGCTGACATGATATGCTTATTGTTGACAATGGTGGATATCAGTGATATTAGCAAATATAATGCACTATGTGTCATACAATGGAGGATATTAATGATATCAGCTGACATGATATGCTTATTGCAGACAATGGTGGATATCAGTGATATTAGCAGACATAATGCACCATGTGTCATACAATGGAGGATATTAATGATATCAGCTGACATGATATGCTTATTGCAGACAATGGTGGATATCAGTGATATTAGCAGACATAATGCACCATGTGTCATACAATGGAGGATATTAATGATATCAGCCGACATGATATGCTTATTGCAGACAATGGTGGATATCAGTGATATTAGCAAATATAATGCACCATGTGTCATACAATGGAGGATATTAATGATATCAGCTGACATGATATGCTTATTGCAGACAATGGTGGATATCAGTGATATTAGCAGATATAATGCACCATGTGTCATCCAATGGTGCACATTGATGATATCAGCCGACATGATATACCATATTGCAGATAATTCTGGATATCATTGATAACAGCTGAGATAATATACCATAATTTGAACAGTTGTGTATATCAGTGATATTGGTTGACTAATATACATACAAACACTGCTGTGTCGAACTTGATGTGTCAAACTGTCTCAAAACTAAAAGCTAGATCCTTGCATATTCCTTCTTTATTCATCAATTACGGTTGTGTCGAATCTCGGATGACTGAAAGTATTTACGTAGGTCCCTTCAGCTTCGAACAACGGTATTTGACTGTAATTCATACAACGGTATATATAGGGGATATCAGCTGACATACTGTACAGAGTTCACACGACGGTGGATGAATCTCCATGTCTCAAACATAGTCTGTCTCCCCATCAGATACAACGTATTGGGCCTCCACTGCATCAGGATTATTCTCATTTGTTGTTCATGTTGATATTACCCTAATTTATCTCTTATAACCATGTATCCAGCTTAGTAATGCACTCTTGTTTTGTGAGGTTTAAGCTGAGTTTAGGCTAAATTCAGCAGACAGAAAACTTGAACCTTTTTTTAAAGCTATTTGCAGGTTCACAAGCCTACACGGATCACCCAATGTTGGCTTGAGCTGAAGAGAATACCAGTCTGTTATCTGTATGTATTAAATGTTAACCATAAATTGTAAATTGTGCTTGCAAAATTTAAATGAAAATTCATATTTCATATGCTTAATATTTTTCTATAAAAAAACCCATAGTTTTTAGTGATATTTTTTTTCGTATTTTATTTTCATTTACCAAACCTAACTGATTTATTCCCTGTCTGCAATACATTGGCGCTTACAGGATCACTACACAAATAAATAGGGCAACACACCAAATATGGAAACACGAATATGTTTTGCTGACAACTGTTACTGTGAACATCATTTCCAGAAATGAAACACAGAGTTTCATCTTATCATCTGTCACAACACGTCAACATGATCAATAAAACCAGATTATATATATTAATCTGAAGACTAAATTCAGGAGGATATTTGGTAGAGCCGGAATGTGCCAAGTTCCCAGTTCAGGGGAAGTACGGCATCAAGGCAAGCAGGTGGTTTCCATATTGTTCTACACAGAATAGAAAATACCACGAGTGCTGCATAGTCTATCCAGAGCCTGCCTTTACCATCATGCTCCAGGGTTACTGAAATAACATGCATTTTGACCGAGCTTCAAACATTAAAGCTCACAAAGTCACACAGCAAAATCCTAATTAATCTCCCACAAACGCAAATTGGTCCCACATTCCGAGCGAAGTGTTTTGGTGGAGAACATAGTGTGTGTTTTATCACAGATCCATGTGGCTGATGGGGAACAATACCACTGATTCAGCAGTCCCGGACTGGTAGACGGAGTCCATATGTGATGCTGGAGGGCAGGAGCTAAAAAAGGCTGAATGAATTGACTTGGATTTGGGAAATATGATTTGGTGCCGCTAGGGGTCATTGAGGAAATGCTGCTGCTGCTGCTGGCTTATCACATCTCACATAATCACACACATCAATCACTGGCTTATCACATCTCACATAATCACACACATCAATCACGGTGGAACAGAAGTAGACACATAAAGGAGGGACATAAGTGAGTGGAAGCCTTGCTTTATGGTGTAGTCAGCAATAACACTCCCTCACATCAGTGTGTGCTGCTGGGTGAGTGAGTGAGGGACTGGGTGAGTGAGTGAAGACTGTGAGTGAGCGAGCAAGTGAAAGACTGTGAGTGAGTGACTGGGTGAGTGAAAGTTGGTCTGGGTGAGTGAGGGACTGGGTGAGTGAGTTAGTCGGTGAGTGAGTGAAGACTGAGTGAGCGGCTGGGTGGGTGAGTGAGTGAGTGAGCAAGTGAAAGACTGTGAGTGAGTGACTGGGTGAGTGAGTGAGTGAGTGAGTGGGTGAGTGAGGGACTGGGTGAGAGAGGGACTGGGTGAGTGAGGGACTGGGTGGGTGGGTGGGTGAGTGAGAAAGTGACTGGGTGAGAGAGGGACTGGGTGGGTGAGTGAATGAGTGAGTGAGTGAGTGAGTGAGTGAGTGGGTGGGTGAGCAAGTGAAAGACTGAGTGAGGGCCTGGGTGGGAAAGTGAAGAACTGAGTGAGTGAGTGAGTGAGTAAGTGAGTGGGTGAACGAGGGAAAGACTGTGAGTGAGCGACTGGGTGGGTGAGTGAGTGAGTGAAAGACTGAGCGAATGAGTGAGTGAGGGTCTAGAAGTGTGAGTGAGTGAGGGTCTAGGAGGGTGGGTGAGGGAACACGTACTTATCCACAAAAGTACTACATATCAAGTTGTGAGTCACTTCAGTCTTCCCTCGACAAGTATGGGGTGTTGGGGACCCTGGACTCCCCAATGGGAGGACAGATCATCACAGCAGCTGCAAAATCACCTTGTCATAAGATACGAAGGAACTTGGAAGTAACTAAGCACAATTCCACACAGATGCACTAATGACACAGGCAGTGGCAGAACCAGTGAACCAAGCATTGCCACATATCTCTGCCTGGGAAGCCTACATCTAATTATCCCCCTCTCCTTACCTGAGCTGAAAACACATATGGCATCACACATCGCTGCAATAAACAGAGATCTTCTTGTCATTAACTGTACTATTTACTGTTATCACAGAAGCCCTCTAAATTAACATGTTTCACTCTCTGCAACACAGCCTCAGGTCCTGCACTATGGCTGTGGAATATCCACACTTATACAAAACCAATTTAGATTATTAAAAGGGTAAGTCCAGCTAGCTTTACTCCACTTTATAGAAAAAATGAATAAAATAGTGCTACAGGACTGTAGCTCACCTGGATATGCAGTCAAAAGCTTAAAATGTCAAAGAGAGCCAGCAACAAAAGTTGCTGTCAGTATTGATATTCAAATATTTTGTGCATGAATACTGAAGACTAACACTTAGTTTTAATGAACTGAATACACTATGATGTTATTATAACAAGAATCACATACATGCCAAAGTTCAGCTTCTCATTTTGTGAGAATTTAAGAGCATGATCCAAACAAGGATCCAATACATACCAATTATGTGTTGAATCCAGCATTTTGTATAAAAAATGGTCGCCTTAATATTGTTTTCAATATGGCTGATGTGGCAGCCATTTTTTAAATAAGTCAACTTTTTTCAGGGACTGATTGTTAGTCTAGCTAGTCATGTCCACAAGCCAAGTTATGATCTATGTGTTAATGCACCTCAAGGCATCTCCTGGCAGGGGCATATCTCATTCCAGTGGCCACCTTGTCATGCATTCCCTCTCACATTCTTACCCCCTGATACAGATCCTCTACCCAACCATGGCCTTCATATGCCTTCCCAAAACACTAGCTTTATCTCTCCATATTATGCATTCAACATTACTCTCCAGACAAACACATCCCATCTGATTTCTGCATCTCTCCCTAAATAACTCCCCTCCTTACCACATCCCAAAGTCCCCCTCCCCATGCTCCCATATCCCTCCCTCCCAACCTGCCATTAATACCTACCTTCTGTCTCCTGCCCAACACCCCTTTCCTTCCAACCCCACTGTCCCTACCCGACCCTGCATCACCTACCTCCTCCACACCATGATCCCATCCTACCTGTCTGGACTGTCTTTATCCAACCCCTCTCCCCTCTCGACATGTCCCTATCCAACCCCTCTCGACATGTCCCCATCCAACCCCTCTCCCCTCTCGACATGTCCCAATCCAACCCCTCTCCCCTCTCTACATGTCTCCATCCAACCCCTCTCCCCTCTCTACATGTCCCCATCCAACCCCTCTCCCCTCTCGACATGTCTCCATCCAACCCCTCTCGACATGTCTCCATTAAACCCCTCTCGACATGTCTCCATCCAACCCCTCTCGACATGTCCCTATCCAACCCCTCTGCCCTCTCGACATGTCTCCATCCAACCCCTCTCCCCTCTCTACATGTCCCCATCTAATCCCTCTCCCCTCTCGACATGTCTCCATCCAACCCCTCTCCCCTCTCGACATGTCTCCATTCAACCCCTCTCCCCTCTCGACATGTCTCCATCCAACCCCTCTCCCCTCTCGACATGTCCCCATTCAACCCCTCTCCCCTCTCAACACGTCTTTATCCAACCCCTCTCCCCTCTCGACACGTCTTTATCCAACCCCTCTCCCCTCTCGACATGTCCCTATCCAACCCCTCTCCCCTCTCGACATGTCCCCATCCAACCCCTCTCCCCTCTCGACATGTCCCTATCCAACTCCTCTCCCCTCTCGACATGTCCCTATCCAACCCCTCTCCCCTCTCGACATGTCCCTATCCAACCCCTCTCCCCTCTCGACATGTCCCCATCAAACCCCTTTCCCTCTCGACATGTCCCCATCCAACCCCTCTCCCCTCTTGACATGTCCCTATCCAACCCCTCTCGACATGTCCCCATCCAACCCCTCTCCCCTCTTGACATGTCCCTATCCAACCCCTCTCCACTCTCGACATGTCTCCATCCAACCCCTCTCCCCTCTCGACATGTCTCAATCCAACCCCTTTCCCCTCTCGACATGTCCCCATCCAACCCCTCTCTCCTCTCGACATGTCTCCATCCAACCCCTCTCCCCTCTCGACATGTCTCCATCCAACCCCTCTCCCCTCTCGACATGTCTCCATCCAACCCCTCTCGACATGTCTCCATCCAACCCCTCTCCCCTCTCGACATGTCACTATCCAACCCCTCTCCCCTCTCTACATGTCCCCATCCAACCCCTCTCCCCTCTCGACATGTCTCCATCCAACCCCTCTCGACATGTCTTCATCCAACCCCTCTCCCCTCTCGACATGTCCCTATCCAACCCCTCTCCCCTCTTGACATGTCCCTATCCAACCCCTCTCCCCTCTCGACATGTCCCTATCCGACCCCTCTCTCCTCCCACCTCTTCAGACAGTATTGCATCACCCCTCTCAATGCCACAGCCACTGAACAGATCATGGACCCCCAGGGACTACAACTGATAAGATCCATAATCAAAGTCAAACCCCCCACCCCTGATGAACACTACCAGGCCAACACACACTGTTTACCCTGCCTCCTTATAAAGCATACCATTACCATATAAACAGACTCAATGCTGCAAAAGTTTATCAGTTTCACAGAGATACATCCACCCCAAGCTGCCCCAGGTGCAACCACCCAGTACAGGCGGAATCCTAACTCTGTCTCACAATGCTGTAATGGGGTGTACATGCAACAGTGGAGGGCAGAAGTGCTGCAGCGGATAAGGTGCAGGGCTATAAATAGCCGGGCCAGGAATGCCGTCTGCTTCAGTGGAGGAGGAATTGAGTGGCTATCCTGGTTATGGAGGGGATACATCTGACACCATACACCTGGCCACGTCAGATATATCTACCCTGCTTGGCAATCTTCTACATTCTGCTCTTACAGTCACACAATTGGGGCATGTATTAGTCGGTGTTACTTGTAACAAAGTTCAAACAGTCATAAGAGCTGAGTCAGCTGAAACTGATTTCTTAAAGTTATCCTAACACTGTGGAATTTCTTTCACTAAAAAATAAAGGAACTACTTTTTTGTCGGAAGCTGCTTGTGCAGAAACATTCTCTGAACAAATTGATCAATGCCATAGGTGTGCTGGGGTTCGGAAAGCTCTTGAGATATTTGTTAAAAATTGTCTCCCAACGTACATTGGTTAATAACAATTAATACTAATATGAATAAGTCTTATTGGATTGAAGCTCCGGAATACACAGCCATACGCAAATATGATTTATTCTATTGACCCCTGTATTCTCATAGGATACATGGGTTCATAAACCTTAACAAGTTTTCGCATGTACAGCTATATATCATGATATATTGATTGAAAAGGAGGAAATATGTCTAGGGCTGGGACACCAGGTAGCGGGGGACCCCAGGTTGTAAAGTTGGACTTGCCACAGCCATTATATGGTCCAGTATGAGATGCCATACCTTGACTCAATCGTCGGTTCTGTATACATATACACAGAACAGTGATGCCAAGGTAGTGGCAGTGATGAAAGAAACACCTCCAAATATTGACGTGTCAATCAACCAGTGATACACCAGCTTATGGTACAAACTGCTATATTAACATGCTGTAAATATCCCAAAGTACCACATGGAAGTCTTCCATGTGATTATCAGTGCTGAATCTGATATATGCCCATCTATCACATGATCTTGACGAAAGAAAGCCATCATGTGATACCCATAGGCTGGAAGACCAAAAGTAACATGTGACCTAAATACATCACGATGGAATTCTCTTTTTGAACATGTCGCACTCAGCAGTATTACAGCTATATCATGGCAGTCTGTAAATAATCAAGTCTGGACCAGACAATCCAGTGATTGACATCATAAGCATCGATCCACGTATTTGGGATACCACTGACCAAGTCAGTGAGTCTGACCACCTGATCCAGTTAGTTGCCTCTTACTACAAGCATAGTCACCTTTTACGGCAAGACTGGGTTCCAGCTGTATGACAGCGGTCTGTAAATAATCGAGTCTGGACCAGACAATCCAGTGATTGATAACATGAGCATCGATCCACGCAATTGGGATCGATGACATGGATCAACCAAGTCAGTGAGCCGGACCTCCTGATCCCGTTAGTTGCCTCTTACTACAAGCATAGTCACCTTTTACGGCAAGACTGGGTTGCTGAAGACCTATTCTAACCCAGATGCATGTCTAGGACGTTTACCTCTTCGGTGAAACCCACGAGCACGGGTATGGTGCTTACAAAGCTAGAAACATAATCGGGACGAACCGGGATTCGAACCCACAATCATAGGTTTCTGGCGTGGCCAAGGGACGCAACTCTGCACAGCGAATCGTTGCACCTTAGACGACTTGGCCACCCGTGCCCCCCACAAGAGTTATGACTACCAATACAACATCTTTATTAAATGTATCTTGTATCCTGCAAAACAAGGACTGTAACAAATGTTACATTTGGGATAACACTTTCTTAATAAAGTAGATTCTAGAACTGTTTTGGGTTGAGCCCAATTGGGGATTTGAACCCACACTGCCAGAGTGAGGCACCTTATCACTAGCACACTAGGTCAGCGATCTAACCCACTCAGCCACCAAGGCTTCCACGGAATGAAAGTGACTAAGGTGAGGTGAAATTGAGTTTAACGTCGCGTCCAAGATTATTGCACTTATATAGCGACGTGCATGCACGTGTATGTGTGTGTGTGTGGCTGCTTGTACTAGTCCGGACTGATGCCGATTTATAGTGCTAGCTCACTGAGATACCATGCCGCAGTTTAACATGAATACCCCACTCAGACACAGTATACTGACTCCGAGCCGACCAGTCCTTGTTTTAGCCCCTTAATGCCGAGCGCCAGACAGGGTAACAACAAGTACAATCTTTTAACGTCTTTTTGTATGACGCGGCCCGGGATCGAACCCTGGACCTTCCGCTCTCCGGGCAGACGCTCTACCACAAGACCACGGAGGCGGTCGAAAGTGACTAAGAAAGTGTTATCCCAAATATAACATTTGTTACATTTGATCACTTTCTGAATGGTATTGTGTATTCAAAACAAGGACTGATCGGTAGAAAAGCTATGATGCTAAAAATAGAAATCATGTAAGCCTCACTTTGGGATCTAGAAGCGCTTTGAATGAATGCTGGATGGCCATCTTTCAAACCTGTCTTGCACCTTGGTGATAGGCTGTAACCGATACGCTAAAAGGTCCTTTCTTAACTTTTTTTTAGATGGTTTATAACATTAGGGGAGGAGAGGAAAAGGGTGAAATCAACTTCCAGACTAGTACTGCTATTGAAGACTGGTTATCCCATCATGGAAGTATGACTGTTAAATGTTATGTTTGTAAGAATATAAAATTATTATACATTGTACCTATTATTCTCAATTTCTTAAAAACAGCAGTCATAAAATCTTGTGGTTCATTTTCATTTCACCTACCGGTTATTGTGTGCGTGTGAAAATTCACTTTTTCTTCCTTTCCAATTTCAGTTTTTGTTGTTGGTCGATCATGTCAACCAACAAAATATAAGGCTTTACCACTGGTGAGGATATTGTTCAATAAAAACATATAGCCAAATGTTTGTCGTTATTGTACCATGTCTTCAATGTTGTATTTTATGTTCGTCAAACATGACTGTACAGTAGCATTTCAATGATGGGAAGACACGAGATAAGGCTATGCAATTACAAGATCTGCAATACATTGAAAGAAATGGGATTTAATAGTTATTACATTGTCAATTAACTCTGTTTCAATTCACACTGCTCCATTTTGTTTAAGCATGAACTCATTCGTTCAACAATCTCCGATAAAGGACTACTCCAGCATGAGCTGATGGTTGTAAAGCCAGGTGCAGACTGGGCTGTCACAGTAAGATCCCATGGCAAGATCCCATTACCGGGAGAGGTTGGGGGGATGTTATGAAACATTTTCATTTTGTTTTGATTTATGGAATCAATGTTGACTTAACAGATTGCATCAACATGAAACATATTGCAGTAGGTTTTGGGTACAGTTGGACAAAGACCTTACAGTGCTGCGCTACATGAAATGTGAATGAACTTAGAATAATTTATCAGATAATTTGAGATGGTCCCACTAACAAGAAATATCAGATTTTTAAATACATCACAACATAATCTCTTTTTGCACATGACACAAATGTTCTAACTACCATCGCAACATCTTCATTTAACATATTGTCTTCAATTTAGTTGAGGTTAATCTGATTCTAGGCTAAAAAAACCTTGATGATATCTTTATGTAACCAATCTCAGCCAGGAGACAAGTGTGTCAGTCATGTAACTTATCTCAGCCAGGAGACAAGCGTGTCAGTCATGTAACCTATCTCAGCCAGGAGACAAGTGTGTCAGTCATGTAACCAATCTCAGCCAGGAGACAAGCGTGTCAGTCATGTAACCTATCTCAGCCAGGAGACAAGCGTGTCAGTCATGTAACCTATCTCAGCCAGGAGACAAGTGTGTCAGTCATGTAACCAATCTCAGCCAGGAGACAAGTGTGTCAGTCATGTAACTTATCTCAGCCAGGAGACAAGTGTGTCAGTCATGTAACCAATCTCAGCCAGGAGACAAGCGTGTCAGTCATGTAACCAATCTCAGCCAGGAGACAAGCGTGTCAGTCATGTAACCAATCTCAGCCAGGAGGTGGGTGTGTCAGTCATGTAACCAATCTCAGCCAGGAGACAAGCGTGTCAGTCATGTAACCAATCTCAGCCAGGAGACAAGCGTGTCAGTCATGTAACCAATCTCAGCCAGGAGGTGGGTGTGTCAGTCATGTAACCAATCTCAGCCAGGAGACAAGCGTGTCAGTCATGTAACCAATCTCAGCCAGGAGGTGGGTGTGTCAGTCATGTAACCAATCTCAGCCAGGAGACAAGTGTGTCAGTCATGTAACCAATCTCAGCCAGGAGGTGGGTGTGTCAGTCATGTAACCAATCTCAGCCAGGAGACAAGCGTGTCAGTCATGTAACCAATCTAAGCCAGGAGACAAGTGTGTCAGTCATGTAACCAATCTCAGACAGGAGACAAGCGTGTCGGTCATGTAACCAATCTCAGCCAGGAGACAAGTGTGTCGGTCATGTAACCAATCTCAGCCAGGAGACAAGTGTGTCGGTCATGTAACCAATCTCAGACAGGAGACAAGTGTGTCAGTCATGTAACCAATCTCAACCATGAGACAAGCGTGTCGGTCATGTAACCAATCTCAGCCAGGAGACAAGTGTGTCGGTCATGTTACCAATCTCAGCCAGGAGACAAGTGTGTCAGTCATGTAACCAATCTCAGCCAGGAGACAAGTGTGTCAGTCATGTAACCAATCTCAGACAGGAGACAAGCGTGTCGGTCATGTAACCAATCTCAGCCAGGAGGTGGGTGTGTCAGCCATGTAACCAATCTCAGCCAGGAGGTGGGTGTGTCAGTCCTGTAACCAATCTCAGCCAGGAGACAAGTGTGTTAGCCATGTAACCAATCTCAGCCAGGAGACAAGTGTGTCAGTCATGTAACCATTCTCAGCCAGGAGGTGGGTGTGTCGGTCATGTAACCAATCTCAGCCAGGAGACAAGCGTGTCAGTCATGTAACCAATCTCAGCCAGGAGACAAGTGTGTCAGTCATGTAACCAATCTCAGCCAGGAGACAAGCGTGTCAGTCATGTAACCAATCTCAGCCAGGAGGTGGGTGTGTCAGTCATGTAACCAATCTCAGCCAGGAGACAAGTGTGTCGGTCATGTAACCAATCTCAGCCAGGAGACAAGTGTGTCAGTCATGTAACCAATCTCAGCCAGGAGACAAGCGTGTCAGTCATGTAACCAATCTCAGCCAGGAGGTGGGTGTGTCAGTCATGTAACCAATCTCAGCCAGGAGACAAGCGTGTCAGTCATGTAACCAATCTCAACCAGGAGGTGGGTGTGTCAGTCATGTAACCAATCTCAGACAGGAGACAAGTGTGTCAGTCATGTAACCAATCTCAGCCAGGAGACAAGTGTGTCAGTCATGTAACCAATCTCAGCCAGGAGGTGGGTGTGTCAGTCATGTAACCTATCTCAGCCAGGAGGTGGGTGTGTCAGTCATGTAACCTATCTCAGCCAGGAGGTGGGTGTGTCAGTCATGTAACCAATCTCAGCCAGGAGACAAGTGTGTCAGTCATGTAACCAATCTCAGCCAGGAGACAAGTGTGTCAGTCATGTAACCTATCTCTGCCAGGAGGTGGGTGTGTCAGTCATGTAACCAATCTCAGCCAGGAGACAAGTGTGTCAGTCATGTAACCAATCTCAGCCAGGAGGTGGGTGTGTCAGTCATGTAACCAATCTCAGCCAGGAGGTGGATGTGTCAGTCATGTAACCAATCTCAGCCAGGAGGTGGGTGTGTCAGTCATGTAACCAATCTCAGCCAGGAGACAAGTGTGTTAGTCATGTAACCAATCTCAGCCAGGAGACAAGTGTGTCAGTCATGTAACCAATCTCAGCCATGAGGTGGGTGTGTCAGTCATGTAACCAATCTCAGCCAGGAGACAAGTGTGTCAGTCATGTAACCTATCTCAGCCAGGAGACAAGCGTGTCAGTCATGTAACCAATCTCAGCCAGGAGGTGGGTGTGTCAGTCATGTAACCAATCTCAGCCAGGAGACAAGTGTGTCGGTCATATTATTGTAGTTAGGAAATTGTTATCGGTAGACCATGTACAAATAGGAAAATTCTTCAAATCTTGATCTGTAACATAGGGTAATAGCTGTGCTATTCATACTGATGAGAAATTCAATACATGTGATATTATTTAGATAGGCATCCAATAGATAAGAGTCTGAGGCAGTAATATTGAAGCCATAGTACTTTAGCCTCAGGAAGGAGACAACCTGTTCCTGGCTGTGCTCATATTAAAATCTCATAATGGTCTGTATATTGCATTTTAGTTTGATATTTGGATATAAGCCCTGGGGTTAATCAATATCGCTTTTACCTCCTGAGAACCCCAAAAGAGCTTGTCCTGTATACAATAGTATTTACAGTCAGCAATAGTCCAGCTTTATCACAGTGGCCTGAAATAATCAGTTCTGGGTCAGACAAACCAATGACAAAAACGCATTATTGGTGGCTTGAAAAGGAAACTTGCCTTGTGGAAAGTGCAAAGTGGGACCACCTATGAAACTAAACGCTTGTAGAGAATATATACTATGTCCCAAAAACTAATACGAATTGTCAATTTAAAGTTTCCTGACTCTTAATTAGATTGGAATGCACAAACATGTTGAAATTACCTCACAACTCGCTACTATTAACATACAGGGATAAGAATGAATATTTTCCTTTTCATCTGAAACTTCTTTGCAATGGAGCGTGGTCCATAATTTGGGGGTATTTATGGGGGAAGCCATCTGATTTTAACAAACTTGTGGTCACTAAACTTTGAGGAACCGCGGAAGATTCTCACCGCTGAACATATGAACATAGCAAAACAAGGTTGTAGGCTCATGAATATTCATGAGTTATTCCTTTTATGGAACAAGTTCCTGGAAAACTTTGAAGTCATTTGTCAAACACTTGTCTCATGTCCGAGTTTCATTCAAGTTCAGTCATAACCTTTAGGTTCACATGACCCACGACTTTTATAATTAGATCGATGCGTTATATTGAGAAAAGCAGACTCTGTGCTATTGAATCTCGAAAGTTTCTGCCGTTGTAACTACTTCTGTGAAAATCGAAAGAGAGTGATCAGCTGATGAGACTATTCAAACTTCATAGACTTTGTGTACCTATTGTGGAGGTCAATCGTTATACCTCTCACATACATATTTGGGATTACAAGATGTTTTTAGTTTTTAACTAAAAAAATTAGTAGTGGGATGATACACTGATGCATCAATGGATCGCGATTTTTTTACTTTTCGATACAAGTATCGATCACAGTTGCACACTAAGTAAAATATATAGATTTTTACCTTAAATGCTTGCATTTATAACTGTTACACCAAACATTAATTAGTAGTGAAAATTAGTAGTAATGTCAAAGATCTCTTAAACTCTACAAAGCATTATTTCAAAGATCATATAAAATCTTCAAAGTATTTGTCAAAGATCATATAAAATATGCTCAGTATGACGTCAAAGATCACATAAAACATTTGATGTATGATATCAAAGATAAAATATAGGCCCCCTCTCATATAGAGTAAACTACATTTGAAACGAACATGTTTATAACATAACTGACCAATATAATGAATATAAGAAAATTATTTTTAGTCCCAGCCATATGTTGTATATATGCTGTATATATGCTAATAATGAA